GGTCGTACAGGTATTGATACAATAATAGTAGAGATACAGAGAGAGCAGTCGTACAGGTATTGATACAATAATAGTAGAGATACAGAGAGAGCAGTCGTACAGGTATTGATACAATAATAGTATAGATACAGAGAAAGTGGTCGTACAGGTATTGATACAATAATAGTATAGATACAGAGAGAGTGGTCGTACAGGTATTGATACAATAATAGTAGAGATACAGAGAGAGCAGTTGTACAGATACGGATACAATAATAGTAGAGATACAGAGAGAGTGGTAGTACAGATACTGATGCAATGATAGTACAGGTACAGAGAGAGTAGTAGTACAGGTATTGATACAATAATAGTAGAGATACAGAGAGAGTGGTCGTACAGGTATTGATACAATAATAGTAGAGATACAGAGAGAGCAGTCGTACAGGTATTGATACAATAATAGTAGAGATACAGAGAGAGTGGTAGTACAGATACTGATGCAATGATAGTACAGGTACAGAGAGAGTAGTAGTACAGATACTGATACAATGATAGTACAGGTACAGAGAGAGTAGTAGTACAGATACTGATACAATGATAGTACAGGTACAGAGAGAGTGGTCGTACAGGTATTGATACAATGATAGTACAGGTACAGAGAGAGTAGTAGTACAGATACTGATACAATGATAGTACAGGTACAGAGAGAGTAGTAGTACAGATACTGATACAATGATAGTACAGGTACAGAGAGAGTAGTAGTACAGATACTGATACAATGATAGTACAGGTACAGAGAGAGTGGTCGTACAGATACTGATACAATGATAGTACAGGTACAGAGAGAGTAGTAGTACAGGTATTGATACAATGATAGTAGAGATACAGAGAGAGTAATCATTCAGGTATTGATACAATGATAGTAGAGATACAGAGAGAGTAGTCATACAGGTGTTGATACAATAATAGCAGAGATACAGAGAGAGTAGTCGTACAGGTATCGATACAATAAAGCAGAGATACAGAGAGAGTAATCATACAGGTATTGATACAATGATAGTAGAGATACGGGGGGGGGGGCAGTAGTGATAAAAAGTGCCCATAATAAATGCAAAAGGCAAAACTGAAAACTTGTACATATCTCCCCATGGACCTAGTGAACGTCCTTTCCAACTTTGGTGAAGATCCATCCTCAGGAGGTGAGGTAGTGGTAAAAAGTACAAAAATTCACATAAGTTGCAAAATGCAAAACTGAAAATTTGTATGTACCCTTTCATGGACCTAATGAACTTGCATAAGAATTTTGGTGAACATCCATCCATGCCCTGCAAAGTAGTTACACAGACAGACAACAGACAGTACTGTCATTCTTATATAGATATAATATTACATGAACAGACAAAATATTGGAATCATATGAAGGTGTAACATTTGATCAATCTGTTATATGTTTAGGGATTAGGACCAACACAAGGATTTAAAAGTGAACAATGTAACTGTTTTACTCTGTTAGAAAGCATTGGTTTAGAGCTGTGTTTAATAAGTAATTGTTTGATTTTTACAGACAGCGAATGCTAGAGGAAGCCTTATTGTTTTCTGGACAGTTCAAAGACGCTATACAGGCTTTGATTGAGTGGTTGGACAAAGCTAAAGACACTTTGGCTACTGACCAGCCTGTTCATGGTGATTTGGACACAGTGACATCATTGGTAGACCAGCATAAGGTAGGAGTAGTAAAGTTAATCATTAGATTAAGGCTTAGAGTTTGGAAAGTAATGGTAAACAGTTTTAGATCTGTAGTTAATCCTGAATTCTGGTGGCTTAAATACAGGCTTTAGATCTCTAGTTAATCCTGAATTCTGTTAGCTTAATACAGGATTTAGATCTGTAGTTAATCCTGAATTCTGTTAGCTTAATACAGGATTTAGATCTGTAGTTAATACTGAATTCTGTTGGTTTTATACAGGATTTAGATGATTGTAGGTGTTAATATTTGAAACTATTGGTCTTACAGGAAAAATGCTTAGTTTCTGAACTTTACATAAACCATACAAACATTCCCATTGTCCAATGAGAACTTTGAGATACTAAGACAAGTTGAGAGCGAGGATTTACTACAGATAGGCCCCACACACAACAAAGCTGGCTATGTATACACTTCAATTAAAGTTGAAATTCTGCAGAAGTTGAAAAGTAAAAAATATCTTTAATGGGAACTTTATACATATATTAAAGAAGAAAATTTACCCCCAAAAAATGGATATTTTAGGTACTAACATTCAATAGATGGCACCACATTGTATTTATTATTTTGGTCACATATCTAGATACATATATATACACCCTACCTCCATTAAAGTAAGATATTTGATGTGTGTGGGGCCTGTACTAACATTCAATAGATGGCACCACATTGTATTTATTATTTCGGTCACATACCTAAATACATATATACACCCTACCTCCATTATAGTAAGATATTTGATGTGTGGTACTAACATTGAATAGATGGCACCACATTGTATTTATTATTTCGGTCACATACCTAGATACATATATACACCCTACCTCCATTATAGTAAGATATTTGATGTGTGGTACTAACATTGAATAGATGGCACCACATTGTATTTATTATTT